CATCCTTTATCTACTTGATTTATTCTGTGTGATTATTAGGTCACAGATCCCAATGAGAAGGACTTATTGCAATCAGCACATGTTATCCACAAAGAATAGGATCTCACCATCTAAAAGGAATTCCACAACTATTTGAACTTCCAGTCATTCAGGTTTGCAACCTTAATAATCCTCAACTCCTCATTCTCCCTCAGCTCCTGTAACCAAGTCCTGTAGATTCTATCTTCACATCCTTCCTTTCCCTCCCCTTGTTTCAACTGAAATACAAGTGTAAGGCTCTTTAATTATTTAAAGGAACCACAAATTCAGAGTTCATATAGTCACCTTCAAGTCTCTTAATTCAGAGGTTCTTGACCTTTTTCTGTGTCACGAAACCCTTAAGTATCTGGTGAAGCTTTTTCATTTCTTCTCAAATGAGATAATATTTGTAAAGCATTTATCTCAGTGCCTGGCACATAGTAGGAACTTAATAAATGCTTGTTCCCCTCCTGCCTTCTCAGAATAAATTTTTAATACATTCATAGAGTTACAAAAGAAACCAATTATATTGAAATAGAGCTAAACTCTCTTCTCATCCAAGTTCATATCTCCCACAAAAAAAAATTCCATAAACTCCCTTACTATGGACCCTGGTATAAGAATTCCTGCCTTTGGGGCAGCTAGGTGGCAAAGTGGATAGAGCACCAGCCCTGAAGTCAGGAGGACCTGAGTTCAAATCCGGCCTCAGATCAAACACTTGACACTTACTAGCTGTGTGACCCTGGGCAAGTCACTTATCCCCAATTGCCTTTAAAAAAAAAAAAAAGAAAAAAAAAGAATTCCTGCCTTAAGTGCATTTCTTAAATCTATATTATCAATCAATCAACCAACATTTATTAAGTGCCTACTATGTGCGAGGCACTGTGCTAAGAGGTAGAGGATACAAAAAGAGGCAAAAGACAGACCCTGACCTCAAGAAGCTCAATCTAACAACGGAGACAACATGAGAACAAGCCATAATGGAGAACAATCCATAAGAAGACTGGAAATGTAGGAGGGGGCTAAGTTACGAAAGGCTCTGAATGCCAGACAGCATTATTATTATTGAGTGGGGAGTGGTGACATGGTCAGAATTAGGAAAATCACTTCAGTGGCTGAATGGAGCCACTCTGGTACTTTGCCTCAATGTGAAAAGCAATACAAAATGGTGGAAAGAGGACAAAACTAGAAATCTGGAGGCCAAATTCTGATTCTGGCTCTGACACCTGCTGTTCAACTTTGGACAAGGAAGTTCTTGAAGTTACTTGGACGAGTTCCTCGAGGGGCTGTAAAATGGGGCTGAACTAGATTATTTCTAAGTTTCCATATGACTCAAAAAGTCTGATACCACAATTTTTTTCCTCAATTAATTAATGCATCAAATGGTCCCATGCAGCATTCTGAACTCTTCATGATTAAAATAATGACACTTGAATATTAAGTACTACTCTAACAACCTATATTTTTTAAAGTATTTTTCACCTAGATATCACTAAAAACACAGGAACCATTGAATTTAAGCTTGTAGAATAGGCTTTCTGGACTCAAAGCATCAAACTCAAAACCTTAAGGGAACATAAGCAAATCCATGATACCTCTTACCAACATTGAATTAAACGTTCAGCCTTAGTTTCTCTCCTAAGATTTAGTCTTACAGCACCAACCAACTACTGAATGAACATTTAAAAGTAGGATGTCCCCTAGTGTCTCCAACTCAACAAATCCAAAACAAAACTCATCTTTTCCCCCCAAACCAACTGCTCCTCCAGACTTCCCTATTTCTGTTGATGACACTAATAACTTCCAATCATTCAGGTTTGCAACCTTAATAATCCTCAACTCCTCATTCTTCCTCAGCCTCTGTAACCAAGTCCTGTGGATTCTACCTTCACATCTCAAACCCAGGCTCTTCTCTCAAGTCAAATAAGTACCATCCTCAAAGGCTCTCATCACCTCTTGCCTTTAGTATTGCAAATAACCTCCTAATTGATCTTACTACCTCAGCTCTCCCTTCCCCAAGCCAAGTTCCAAAATCACCAAAGTGACTTTCCTAAAGCATACAGATCTTCGATATCTGTTTGGCATTTAAGACCCTTCACAACCTGGCTCCAAATTACCTTTCCTGTCTCATAACATATTACTCCTCTTTAGTCTACAGTCCAGACAAACTTTTCCTGTTCCTCAGAGGACAACTCCCTTTTCATCTCTGTACCTTTACACAGGCAGTCCCCAATGCCTTCACCTCCTTCACCTCTACCTTTTAGAATTTCTAGTTTCTTTCAAAGTTCAGTTCAAATGCCACCTCCCACATGAGGATTTTCCTAATTCCCCTCTGCTAATGCTATTTCACTAGTATTAATATGTATATTATGTGGGTATATATGCATGGATATGTACATATAATATGTTATGTTGTTATGTATGTAAATGTTGCTTTCCAGATTATAGAATGTAAACTTGTTGAGAGTAGGTAGTTTTATTTCTGTCATCATATCCCCAATGGCTAATACAGAGCTTGGCACATAATGGACACCTAATAAATACTTGTTGATTGGTGAATTCATCAATCAGTTGACTGATGAAGAAATAAAGAAAAATGCAGCAAGCTAATTGCCAGGGAAGAAAAGCAGTTAGCAAAAGCACTGAACACCCTTCAGAATTTTTTACTCTTCAGCCTGGAAAAATGAGAGATTTATTATTAAGGAATACTGGAAACATTTGAGAAAGTAGACCTAAGCTTTAGATGGTGACATAATGGAGTGATTTAACCATACCTCCAACAAAATATCTTTTGTTTAGACTATGGATGTTACTATTTGGCCTCTTAGTCTTCAGTAATAACACATATATAGGTCCATTAGCCACCCTGAGTTGGAGGTCTATTTTTATTATTTTCACCACTATTTTTATTGAAAAATTTCATTTTTTGAAGTACCTTCAACTACAATGAAAGAGACAATATAAATAGGGAAATAAAAAACTGTAGGTTAAAAGGGAACAATTTCTATAAATTATTAAAATTAGTATGAGAGAAAACCCCCAAAACACTGGATCACATTTTTTTTTTAATCATACTTTGGGATATATACTGTGGTGGGCTGGTTTTTGTTTTTTTTTAATGGTGGTAGTTGGTCAAAACATTCCTGTAAACTAAAAAGTTGCTTGGAGTACCAAACAGTTAAATGACTTGTCTATGGTCTTAACGCGGTATGTGTCAAAAGGAGTCTCTGAACCAAAATTTTTCTACCTCCTAGATCTGACTGCCACTCTACACTGGTTGGTATACAATATACAAGCAATAGTGGGAGTTTATTGTAGTAATCTTTCCTGTCTCTTGGAATACAGCAAGTAGACTCTGAAAATCTAAAAAGTGACTTCCAGAATGGAAAAATTATAATTTGATGTTTGTGTAAAGGAAAAAATGCTTATGAATTCCTGCTTTAATGAAAAATTACCCAATTGTTTTTTGTTTCCTGTAAATACAAAGAGAAAAATACCTATCACAGCAAAACAAAAACAAAAAAACTTAAGGCCAAAGTTAAAATAACAGTAGTCACATGTATAGAACAGATTGAAAAACACTTTGGAGAATATTATAGTACCTACATTGGGACTTTGAACTTAACCTTCTGATTTTAAAATGAATACCCATTTGAAAAGTTATATGAACTGATGCAAAGTAAAGTGAGCTGAACCAGGCAAATATTGTATACAGTAACAGCAATATTGTAATAATGATCAACTGAAAGACCTAGCTACTCTGATCAACATAATTATCCTTGACAATTCCAAAGGAGTCATGATGAAAAATGTTAACCACCTTTAGAGAGAATGAAGTTAACCCTGAGGGTCATTAAAGCATATTTTCTTTCACTTTCTTTATTTTTCTTGCTTTTTTCTGCCATACACCTAATATGTAAATACAATTTTCATGATTTCACCTGTATAATGGGTATCATACTGCTTGCCTTCTCAATGGTGGGAGAGAAGCTGAAGGGAGGGAGAGTTTGGAACTCAAAAAAGAATATAAAAAAAATGTTTTAAATGAATACCTACTTATGGAGTCAAAGCACTTCATTTTTTTTTTTTTGCAAAAATACTTGTTAACCATCTCTCCAAGTTCTCTAAGTGCTTAATCAATTCCACAAACATTTATATGGCTTGAACTATGTGCAAAAGCATTGTCTGGGGTGCTAGGTATAGAAAAGACTAAAAAAATACATAGAAAAGGCCTCTGCCCTCAAGAAACTCATTTAGATTTTCCCCATTCCCTATTTCAATTTTATGCATTTGATATTTTCAAAGCTTTTTCGTTTTAATTTCAATTTTTTTGGCCTGCAAACGGCTATTTCAGATTCCAATCATCAATATCTACAAAGGGCTGATTAATTTTGTTCGGAGGGTTCGGTGAAAAGACTTATTTGGAGACGGTTTAGGAGTCTGAGAACCCAAGTTCAAATCCTGCCTACTCATCCCAACCTCTGCAGAAGGAAGTTTCCTCATCTCCGCCTAAGTGGAGCTGGATGACCTTTGATGACCCCTACGGCTCTCTCCGGGGTCCACGCTTCCGCTCCTCCACGGATCGGTGTATTGGCCAGTATCCCAATAAGGACATTCGCTAGACGAGACCCCACCTCCACCGCCCGGCCCGGGTTCGGTCCAGCCCCAAGCCCCACCCCTCCGGGGGGGCACCGCCCGCAGCCGCACGTCGGGGTCAAAGGGCAGGGGCCGAGGGGGTGCGCCGTCTGTGACCTGGATGCCCACCTCCCCCCCCGTCCCAGCTAACATGGCCGGGGCAGAGCGATGCCCACAGTCCCTCCTTCACTCTCAAGCCTCTTGGCCCCCGGAGGAGGCCGGGCCTTGCAGGTCTCCCTCCCTCCCCCGCCCGAGCCAGCTCCCCCGGTCACCTCCCGGGCCCCGCGGGGGGCCGCTGCCCGCCCCACCCCACCTCCGCGGCACCGGCACGGAAGAGCGCGCGCTACCTGCGACCTGGGAGACCAGGGCTTCGGCCACGAGGGACATGCCGGCGGTGCGGCCCGCGTAGGCCTCGACTCGCCCCGCCGCCGCCGCCGCTCCTCCTGCCCCGCCGCCGCCTGCGCCTGCTTCCGGGACGCTCGCTGTTCCCTCCCCCAGCTCCGGACCGGCCGGGGAAGTCGCCCAAGGTTACAGCCCGAGCCCCAACAGGAACTTCCTGCGCAGCGCCCGCCGCACCGCGCGTGCCCGCCCCTCCGCCGCCGCTGCCGCCGCCGCCGATCCTTCCGGCCCCTCAGTTTCCCCCTCTGCGAAAGGAGCCGGTTGGCTCACGTGACCTCCACGGGCCTTTTCTGCCCGCCACCTCGTGAAATGTGAACCCCTGTGCTTGGCGTTCAGTGCCGGCCAGATCACCTTTCCCAGGCGCTCCCCCGTTAGATTGGAGCCCCTTAAGACTGTTTGCCTTTCTTTGTAACCGCAGTGGTTAGCCATGCCTGGCAAACGGTAGGCGCTTAATAAATGATGATTGGCTTAACATCAAACCATCTCTCCTATACATCCTCCTCTTTGCTCTGACACTACAACCAACCCTGGTGCAGGTTCTCATCACCACATGCCCAAGGAGTGCACAATGGTCAGAGCACTGGGCCTGAAGTCAGGAAGATCTGAGTTCAAATCCTGACCCCAGAGGTTGTCTAGTTTTGTCACTCTGGGCAAGTCACTTCACCTGTGTCTGCCTCAGTCTCCTCATCAGTAAAATGGGGGATAACAACCCCTGAATAGAAGGGTTGTTGTGAGGCTGGAATGAGATGATACTTTCAAGTTTAGCACAGTACCTGGCACAGAATTGGCACTATATAAAATGGTTGTTCTCTTCCCTTTCACCCTCCCCGCCCCTTCTCACTCTGGTTGCTCTCCTAGCTTCAAGTCCCTCTCCTCTCCCATCTATCCTCCACCCAATGTCAAATGAATCTTCCTAAAGCCTAGGTCTGACCATGTCACATGTACCCACACACTCAAACTCCAGTGGCAGACCATAGTAAACTAGCCTCTGGGATAAGAACTCACTGTTTGGCAGAAAAACTAATTATAGGGTAACATCTTACTGTATACCAAGATAGGGTCAAAATGGGTACATGATTTAGACCAAAAGGGTGATACTATGCAGAAAAACTAGTTATAAGCCAACATCTTACTGTATAGCAAGATAGGGTCAAAATGGGTACATGATTTAGACATAAAGGGTGATACTATGAGCAAATTAGGAGAGTAAGGAATAGTTTACCTGTCAGATCTATGGATAAGGGAAGAATTTATGGCCAAAAAAAGAGATAGAAAGCATTATGAAATGTAAAATAGATAATTTTGATTATATTAAATTAAAAAGGTCTCATATAAACAAAAACAATACAACCAAAATTAAAAGGAAAGCAGAAAGCTGGGAGGCAATCTTTACCCCAAGTGTGTCTGATAAAGGCCTCATTTCTCAAATATGTAGAGAACTCAGTCAAATTTGTAAGAATACAAGCTATTCCCCAACTGATAAATGGTCAAAGGATATGAATAGGCAGTTTTCAGATGAAGAAATCAAAGCTATCTATAGTCATATGAAGAAATGTTCTGAATCACGTTTGATTAGAAAAATTCAAATTAAAACAACTCTGAGGTACCACCTCACACCTGTAGGATTGGCTAATATGACAGAAAAGGAAAATGATAAACATTCGAAAGGATGCAGGAAAATTGGGACACTTAATGCATTGTTGGTAGAGTTGTAAACTGATTCAACGATTCTGAAGAGCAATCTGGAACTATGCCCAAAGGGCAACCATTTCATCCAGCAATACCACTACTAGGTCTGTATCCCAAAGAGATCATTAAAAAGGGGGAAGAACCTACATGTACAAAAATATTTATAGTAGCTTTTTTTGTGGGGACAAAATATTGAAAACTGAGGAGAAACCCATCAGTTGGGGAATGGCTGAACAGGCTGTGGTATATGAATGTAATGGAATACTATTGTGCAATAAGAAAAGATGAGCAGCCAGATTTCAGAAAAATCTGGGAACACTTGCATGAACTGATAGGAAGTGAGATGAGCAGAACCAGGAGAACATTGACGGTAACAGCAACATTATGTGATGATCAACTATGAATGACTTAGCTCTTTTCAACAATACAATGATCCAAAGGACTCATGATGGAAACTGCTATCCACATTCAGAGAAAGAACTGATGGACTCTGAATGAAGATCAAAACATGCTATTTTCACTTCATCTTGGGTTTTTTTTTCTTTTTGGTCTGTTTCTTCTTTCACAATATGACTAATATGGAAATATGTTTTACATGAGTGCACACAGATAACCTATATAAAATTGCTTACCATTTTAGGAAGAGTGGAGGGGAGAGAGAGAAATTTGGAACTCAAAATTTTGTAAAAATGAATGTTAAAAATTATCTTTATATGGAATTGGAATAAATAAAATACTATTTTAAATAAACTCATTCCAGTGGCTCCCTGTTACTTCCAGGTTCAAATATAAAATCCTGTGGCTTTTAAAACTCTTAATAGCCTGGCCCCTTCCTATCCTTCTAGTCTTACATTTTACTCCTTTGCATAGTCTCTTATCCAGTGACCCTGGCCTTCTTGCTATTCCTTGGATAAGACACTCAGTCTCTGCATTCCATGCATTTTCACTAGTTGTTCCCCTGGAATTCTACCCCCCCCTCATCTCTGCCTCCTGACTTTCCTGGCTTCCTTCAATTCTTGGCTTCTGTGAAAGGCCTTTCCCAATCCCGCTTAATCCTAATGCTTTCCCTCTGAAATTATTTCCAATTCATTCTGTATATGTACATGTATATGTATTTGTACATGTTGTACATTTGTACTTTTTTAACGTTGTCTCTCCCGTTAGATTATGAACTCCTTAAGAGTTGGAACTGTCTTTCTATCCCCAGAGCATAGTACAGTGCCTGGCATATAAGTGCTTAATAAATGCTTCTTGACTTCATTTGGCCTTGAAGGCAGGGATTGTTTTATTTTTGACTTTGTAACCCTAGCACAGTTCTGGCATTTAGTAGGTTGAGGGTCGATTGATCTTCCTTTAATACCTTCTTACCTCTGCCTATTGCAATCCTTTGTTCACTTCAGAGCTTTACTGAAGTCCCAACTCCTACAACAATCCTTTTGTGATTCCTCCAGTGATTGGGCCTCTCCAGCCCCAATCACTTTGTATTACATATTTTGAATGTCTTTATCTAGGCATTCCTTGTTTTCCCTCCACCTTCCCAGTAGAATGTCAGTTCCTTGAGTTCAGAGATTATTTCCATTTTGTCTTTTTGTCCCCAGCACCTAGCATAGTGCTTAGCACATAGTAGGCATGGAATAAATGCTTGCTGAACACCATTGTAAAGAAAAACAACTTTAAAAGACTTGGGAATTTTGATCAATGCATTCATTGATGGACCATGACCCCAAAGGATGGTAATGTAAGAAGCTTCCCACCTCCTGTTAGAAGGGTAATGTGTTCAAGGTATTGAATGAAAAGTAACATTTTGGAACATGGAGGGAGGGGAGGTTTGTTTTATTACTTCTAATCAAATATAGCAGAAGCAACCTGTGAGTAGTTTGAGCTGTCTGAATGGGCCAGCTGGCCAGTTCCAGTTGGGCAACTCAGTCTGTCCCCTCCTATCCCCTCCCCTCCTCCCATCCTCTCTCCTCTCCTCTCCTCTCCCTTTACCTGAGGGTGTTCTGCCCAAAGGAAGTTAAATTTTGATGGCCAAAAAGCTACCTAATTAACTTGGGATTTACTGGCTAGATTTCTTTCTCGAAGATCAAGCCTTAAACCTAATTCACTCTGGATCTCATGGATTGGACAACAATAGGTCCCACTTAATGGTTATTTTTTGGACCCTCCTGGCCCAGAGTGAATGTAAATGGTAACTCTTTTCTCTTTTGGCCAGCAACCCAGAGAATCTTCCCCCTCCCAGTTTGATTGATTTATTTATTTTAATTAAAGGGACCATCCCTTGACTCACTTCTGAAAGAAGCCTATTCACTGAATGGGCGTTGCCTCACTCAAAATTAGAACGCGAAAAGATGTTAGCTTAAAAAGGCCAAGGTCTCCCACTGTATCCTGGGCCAACTCCAGTCCTCCTTATCAATATCTGTCCACTGAACCCAGATGGTTCTGGAGGAGAAAGTGACACTGGTGACTTTGCACAGCCCTCCCTCACTGAAATCAAAGTTAATTGCAAGTCATGTCATCATCTCCCTGATGTCATGGTCCTCTTCGAGAACAAAGGACAAACCACACACAACCCATTAGGGTAAATTTGAGGAATGGGACAACTACTCATCCTGACAAGTTCATACTTTCACAGGTGGCACTAGGTCCCCATTGGTTCTCCCTGGTGGACCTTCTTGCCCAATTGTGTTAGCTTTAAAACAAAACAACAAACTATTTGTCTTGCCTCTATTAATCAGATATCCACTTAGTGCTTCTTAAATTACTTAGATAAAGTCATAATTTCAGAACTGGAAGAGCTGAAGTTTCTCAAGGAGATTCATTCATTCAAAAATGAGTATATGGGGCACCCAAGGAGGACTAGCACCTCTGGTGTACTAATGCTAGTGCCTTCCCTTTGAGATGGGCTTGCCAAGCTTTTTTCAGGGCTGCTCATCTACCTTTTGTGTCTGCCTGTCACCCAACTCATCATTTTTTCTTTTTTTTTTTTGTAACTTAAGGGTTTGATTCTATTGAAAGAAATTAATTGATTATTATCAACAGTTAACTGAAAGCATGGTAAAATGTTAGTCTTAATAAAATTGATGTAAGAATAGGAACAATCAATGAATCCCTTAGCAAACCATAACCAACTTTGTCTTGCCATTGGAAGAGTGAGGCTATTGACTTTGCAAATCTTTACCTCACTTAAATCCAATTGATAAGAAAGTCAAGACATCACATGTCATCACAAGACAGGTCATTGGTCTTCCTCAAAAAGAAAGACAAACAGCATTTGAAGAGGCCACACCTGGGTAAAACTGTCTCAGTAAACTGACCAAACCAGGTTAAGGGTAACCCCCAGGCCTCAAACCCATCAGTGAGTTAG